AATTCCATATTTTTGGTATAATTCAGAATGATTTAAGATGGAAGAAAAAAAATGTTGGCATTCTCAAAGAGAAATATGCCATATTTTTGGCATTTTCCGAAAAAAATGGAAGTTTGTAGGAAATATGACATTTTTTTTTAACGGTCGGAGGTGGTGGTGCAGGGAGGCGGTGCCACCACCTCCTGTCACTGGGGTAAAAAAATGCCAAAAAAATTATGAATGCCATATTTTTGGCAAAAGTCAAAAGGATTCAAGTTGGCAGAATGAAAATGTTGGCATTCTCATAGAGAAATATGCCATTTTTGTGGAATTAAAAAAAAAAGTGGCATTTTTTACACCGATCGGAGGTGGTGGTTCAGGGAGGTAGTACAGGCGGTGGGAAACGTATCCATATTTTTTTCATTTTTTTTATGGAGTTTTACTATTTTTTATTAATTTTTTTTTAAAAAAAAAAAAAATTCTTATTTTTTATTTTATAAAAATTTTATTAATTTTTTTATTATTTTTCTACGAATTATTGAAATTTTTTCGAATTTATTATGAATTAAACATTTATTTATGACTTTTAGTTATCTTTTACTAATATTTAAAGGAGGGGTAAGAATGGAAGGAAGAAATGAGTATGTTTCCAATAGGACCACTATGGTCCTATTTTGGAAAAAAAACATAGCAAGTCCTATTTTGAGTTTTTGTCATAGTTTTAGTCCTATTTGAAGTAATTTCTATTATTTCTTTTATCCAAATCCATGTATTTGTGGCCAATCACCAGCATATCGCCGATATGAACTAGGGAATTGAAAACCTTCTGAAATCAACTGTAGCCACTAGCCATACCAAGTCTGCGACCAAAACAATTGAAACCAAATTTCGGATTCCTCTAATCCGAAATACTACCAATACTGCCCCACCTCGACCTTGTTGTTGCGTCCAAACGTAAAAGCCCCAACAAAACCCTACAAAAGTCGGATTAGTGACCCACGTTTCCCGTATTTTCATACAATAAACTTGACATTCGTATTTTTGGAATGGATGCAAAAAAATCCCGTAAATCCATCCTTTTCTCCGTGGGGGTCCTCACAAAACAGGGGCAGAGGAAGACGGAGCTACAGGGGCGATGTGATATTACTACGTATCTAGGCCTACCTTCTAATTTCCGGCGAAGGGGCTCCGGCGGCTCGCCCTCCCTGGTTAAGTTCCGCCCCACTCATTCCATACAATAACTTTATACTTGAAATATCTTTAATTTCTACTCTGTAAATGCTAGCTGCGCCAGATAAACAGTAAGAAACCCAGAGAGAGTGAAGCTTGGTTGATCCAATATCATAGAGCAATTGCAATCAAAGATGGATATAAATATGAACACAATTGAGCAGGAAAACAAAAACAAAACAAATTCTTACGTTGCTTCCTTTGAGAGTTCATACCATACGTACTGTTGTGTTAACGGCATGCATGCATGCACTGTTATATTAGCGGCCGCTTAATTGATTCAGTCACTCTATAAGGTAACTTCCGAATTGTACCGGGAACCTTCTTAACAGTCCTCTGTTCCCGCCGCCGCGCGATACCGAATTGTACACTCTTACTCCTGCCCACACAATATCCGGCCGTACCCTGTTTTCACTTACTACGTTCTTAACTGAGGTTGCTTTATATATATAGCAGCTCTTATTCTATTCTAATCACCTTATTAATCACTCCGTAATTGTGTGTCTCGTACATTTTGGGCAAGCAATACTGCCGTCAAAGAAGCTAAGCTAAGCTAGCTAGATTTTCTTAATATACTAAAAGTGGCGTGGGAGTATTATAATAATGTCTATAATAATAATAATGACTCTGCCGGGTTTGAAGCGACCGGCAGCGATTCCCCCGCATATGCATTCCGGCCGCCGCCGATACTATCCGAATACGGTCAGATGACCGAGAAATCGGCTATGGTGGCGGCACTGACGCATGTCATGTGCGGCGAACCGGAAGCGGGTTTTACTCCGTCATCTTCGGGCTCAGGTTCATGGGCCTGGCCACCGGAGGAGCCACCAATTCAGCAGCAGTTCCCGATGGCGCCACAAATGGACGTCTACGGAGGGTTTTTTCAACCACCTGCTGCAGGTACGTTTAATTTATACATATATAGCACGTCTGGTATCACTAAAATAGGCTAATTTAACTCCTGAAATTTATGAAGTTCTGGCTGAAGTGGCTACATTATCTGATTCTGTTGATTTAAGAAAAAAATATTTTTAAAATATGAGTATTTTATTAATAAAATGAAGAAAAATTATATGTAAAAATAGCTAAAATGATCATCTACCATAATTTCAGCCAATACAGCCAGAAAAGTAACTTCAATCTTACTTTTTCTGCTTATTACACAATTCAGCGCTCAAACGCAAAAGTTACGTGTTTTGTGAAAAAGTTCGCAGATAAGCCTGATAAGTTGAAAAGCAGTGTTGCCAAACGATCTCATAATAGATACTAGTATATAGTAATAGATGGGTCCGGATTAAATATGGAGTATATGACTTGTTTTTATTTTTAGGATGTTTTTACTTGGATTGTAATTTGTCCCAAATTAGACCAGACTTGGGTAGTTATAAAAATACAAAGATACCAGACCAGACTAGACTAGCAAATTACATAAAAAAAACATCCTTTTTTGTCACAACTTTATAGTTTATACTACTCGTACGTAGTACGTACTCCGTAATGAATCATATACTCTGTATTTGTTATGAAAAAAATGAAATGACAGTATGACACCATTTTCGAATCATTCAAATAAAACATTTTTATAGATATATAACTAAATTCGCTATGCATAACATTATGGGTATTGGAGTCCAAAATTGAATACTCCCCCATTCCTACACTTTTTCTTTTCACTAAGTTTTTCCTTTACAAATACTCAATTAATCTTATTTTTTTACTTTTGGTCATCTCTTTCCTACTTTTTCACCTTCTCTCCTACTTTTTTATATTATTCATTACTCTTACTATTCTCCTACTTTTTTTCTACCTTAAATCTTGTGTCATAACCAAACGTAACGCTCTTTAAAATACGGAAGGAGTATGTAGTACGTAAAGTATAACAATAGTCACTAAGGGAGTTTTTGTAACTGCTTCTGCTTAAAAAACACTTTTGGAAGTGATTTTGGAAAAAATAATTAGTAGTAAAAGTTGATAGTGTTTGAGAAAAAAGTGATTTTGGAAAGTAAAAAGTTGATAGTGTTTGATAAATAGGTGTTTTTTGTATAATAGAAAAAGCAAAAGTCACTTTTTGCACAAAAGCCGAGAAACGTTTTTTAAGTAGAAGTTGTCACTTGCAAACACAAATTTTAGCTTTTTTAAACTAAAACCGAGAAGCGTTTTTTTAAACAATTGCAAACACTCTCTAAGATTGATTGCAACCCGGAAAGTGAAAATGCAATTTTGAGGTTTTCACCCCCTAATTTGGTGCAACCCAGGCATTTGAAGGTCTTAATTAAAGTGGGTCTGTAGCACCCATTGAGAGCACATTAGATACCCGTAATCCCGGAGAGAGAAGAGAGCCGCGGGAGCAAGCTTCTATGCGCAGTACGTTACACAAGAGTGGGCTCAAGAATATTAAATACAATTTTCTTTAAATTGTTATAACTTTTCTATTTTTATTTAAATTTTTATAAAAAATATATCAAAATTTATAATTTTTTATTATCTTTCATCTGACATTGATATTGTTTATATAAAGTTTAAAGAAACTATAAAGTATCTTCCGTTTGAAATTTTTATAGCCAAAATCTTAGATCAAAATGCTAAAATTAAGATTCAATGATTAAAACAAAATTTAATTTTTTTCAATTATTTTTCTAAACAATAGGTCTGAAGTAACAATAAAAATATTAAACTCCAAATTTAATTATTTTTACATCGGAATGTTTGATTTTTTGAATCATAACCATTCGTAAAAAAGAATGAAAAAGGAATTAATATATAATAATAAAATTAAGGATTTAATTAAATAAAACTTTGTTGGATGAATATGTTGACGGTGCTGGGTTGCAGGAAAAAAGTGAATTGACTGAATAATACGTATAAACAGATGAAAAATTGGATTTATTGACGGAGAGAGTTGTGATTAGCATAAGAGGTTTTTTTGCTTTTATGTTTATTTTAATAATATATTCATTTGTATGTCATTATTTAATGGGGTTTGGTCATTAATAATACTAACTAAAAGGATTTGGATAAATATAGGACTACTTTTATTAATTGCCAACAAACTGACCATGCGTGTGTGCCGATTAGAAACTTAGGATTAATATGCCAAATTTGCCCTGGAAGGCAGTAAACTACGCCTAAACTAAATACGGAGTCCAACTGTACTTGCGTGTGTTTTCCGGGCAATGAACAAAAATTCTTTGAGTTTTATATTATTCCTTTATTATAATTAGATTAGATTAGAAGGTGATCATTTACAATTACTTGATAGAGCTTTAAAAAAAATTACTTGATCAGATAAATTACAATTACACGTCCAACCAGTTACAATTATTTATTCGATCAATTATCGTTACTTGATCCGGTCAGTTACAATTATCTATTTAGTCAGTTACAGTTATTCGATTCGACCGGTTACAGTTACCCAATTCGATCAGTTATAGACTTATAGTTACCTAATTGACCAGTTGCAGTTACCCGACCTGTCCAGTTACAGTTACCCGACCGTCCAGTTATAGTTACCCGACTTGTCCAGTTACAGTTACCTGACCGTCCAATTATAGTTACTCGATCCGTCCAGTTACAGTTACCTGACCGTCCAATTATAGTTACTCGATCCGTCCAGTTACAGTTACCCGACCGTGACAACTGTGCTTCTCCAGTGACCACAGCCTAAACCGTCGCCGCCACTTGCACCTACCTCTACCCAGCCCCAGCCCCCAACACCCCCTGCCCAGCCTCAGCCCCAACCCCTTCCAAACCCAAACCCAAACCCAAACCCAATCTCAGTCCCAAATCCATCCCCCAGCCCGGATCCAGCCCCCTCCCCCTGCCCAGCCTCTCAGTCCCGCGCCTCACCCCAAACCCCTGCCCCACTCCCGCCACAGTCCCCTGAGCCTTCCCAAAGCCTTTTTCCCAATCCATGCTATCGCGTTCGCCGGACGAGAGATTTCGTTCGCCTCCACCATCGGAAATAAAAAGAATAAGGTCGGGTGGTGTAGGGTGATGGCGAGGTCCAGCGAGGCACACGGCCGGTGAGGGTGGCGGAGATGTTCCGATCGGCGGCAGGGATGTTCTGATCGGCGGCGACAAGTTCTGCATGCTATGCGGAGAAGCTGTGGAAGGTACCGAGATCCGCTATGCCGAGTAGGGGTGTGCACCGGTCCAAAACCGGACCGGACCGGACCGGAACCGGTTAGGACCGGAACCGGAATCATCATTTTCTTTGGACCGAAGACCGGACCTGAATCTAACCGGTCCGGACCGGTCCGGACCTGAATTTTCTGGTCCGGTCCGGTTTTGACCCTAATTGACCCGGTTTGAAAAAAATAAATATTATCTTAGAGTGTTCTTAGTTGGCCCCAATTTTTTTTAGGAATAAGGCTTGAATGTTGTTGTTCTAAATTATAATTTTATGTGCGGATATGCTAAATAGACTAAATAATTGTTTATCTAGCTCATTTATTATTTTTGGAATATAGTTATGAAAACTATTCAATCATAACAATTAGTTTCCCACAATAATTAAAACTACAATCTTTTGTGTATATTAAAATGAAAAATCTATTATAAAGTAATAAAAACTAAATTAAGTCCAAAAATATACTACGTATAAACTACATGTGCACCTGCAAATAAAGAAACAAATAAAAAGTAGAAAAATCACATAAATAAATAAATAAATAAATAACAACTTAGGAAATAATTAGACACCAAATATACACTCCGTATATATTCATTTATATAATAAAAGACAAAAATAAGTCATAAACATAATGACTAATGATACAAAACCAAGTATATATTTTACGGGAAAATAGGTTACCGGTCCATTCCGGTCCGGACCTGTTTTTTTCGGGTTTGACCCGGACCGGACCGGAACCCGGAATCTTACAAAACTAAGGACCGAAACCCGGACCGGTTTATACCGGTCCGGTCCGGACCGGTCCATTCCGGTCCGGTTCAGGTCTAAAATACGGTCCGACCCGGTTAATGCACAGCCCTAATGCCGAGTGACGGAAGCGGTGCAAATTTATGTTTTGGGGGCAGTTTGGTCTCTTAAGTTTTTTTTGCTCTCTTTTGTGTCCATACGAAAATCGGGTCTTACTTTTGTCAATCATAAAGTCCATACTTCTAGTTTTGCCATTATTTCTTATTTAATTTACTCGTATACGAGTATAAGAAGACAATAGTTTGATCGCCCCCAAAATCTAGATCTCTTGTCATACATTAATTGTTACACCCCAAAATCGGATCATGTGTGTTTATAAGTTATTCACCAATTTATCCCAATAGTCCCAATAGAAAAGCCTTAAATATACACCTACTTTTTACTATAGAGTATAGACTATAAAAAGAAATTACCTTATTTTATAAAAGTTGCTACATCTGAAATTTTACGGTATTCACATACTCTACTAACTACTTCTTCCGTTCCATTGAACTTTGCTAACTTTCCCTTTTTGGTTGTCCCAAAAAACTTTGTCACTTTCTTATTAAAGCAACTAATTTGTGGTTCTGCACATTTCTCTCTCTTGTGCACAAATTTCAATCACACAGTTTTTACTATTCTTATTTCTCACCTACTTTGCACTTGACAAAGTCCACTGGGACGGAGGTAGTATATTTTATTTGCAAATACATTAAAAAAATAAAAAAATAATTAAATTCTTCTCACTTTAGATTATCAAAATGTGAATTTTGAAATTTATACAATTAAAAAATTAAATATATTAATAATCAAAATGCTGCATTCATTTTTTCGTGGGGCTCCCGAGACGGAAAAGGTCCGCATCCACATAAGCCTTCCGTGTGGAGAAGACTGCTTTATGTGGAGTACTAAATTTCTAGAGTGAATTCTCCTTCACTATTGGTGTGGGGAAATTTTGAAAATGGGAAAGGAAGACAACAAAACAAAAACTTATACGGATTAGATGCTCCAGCGAATTTTGTACATGTGGTGCCCCTTATAAATTTATTAATCATCTCCTTTTAGCAAATCAACAATGCTATTATCCAAAATAGGACTAAAAAAGTTTGAAAAATCCAAAATAGGACTGTCATATTTTTATGCCTAAAATAAGACTAGTTACTGTCATGTTTTGGCACTACCAGACTTCAAAACATGACAGTATTTTCCAAACTTGGTAGTAAATAGTCCTATTTTGGGAATAAAAACATGACAGTCCTATTTTGTAATTTCGAAACTTTTTTATTCCTATTTCGGGAACTTTCCCTTACATTTAATTTTTCTTGGCAATAATGTAATACACGATTGTCCAAAATAATACTACGTAATAATATCTTTTCTTTATATATATAAAAGTAATATGGTGGGATTTCAGGTAGAAATATTTTTCTGCCCACAAAAATGAATTAATGATGCCTCATAAATGAATCTATATATGGAATTAATGTGTTGTTTAGTTATCCCCATCTGTTTTCTTAAATGAGTGGTCCAACAACTCAACAAGTGCTATTGTTCAAATGTTAAATATAGCCCTTGAATTAATTAATGAGCAACGCATCTTAGTCCACTTACGTTTACTTTTTTATTTTCTTTAACTATTATTGTTTTCTAACATTGATACTAACCCTTAGCTTTAAATGCTTAACATAATTTCCTTTAAATGTGTTATGTGTCTTTACAAATGTAACGTAAAAACTGTGCAAAATACAATTACAACATACTTTTAAAACATACAATTAAAAGTAGTATACGCAATATTGAAGATATTACTATTGAAAAGAGTTTAAGGATTTAAAGTGAAAATATTTCTACCTGAAATCCCACCATATTACTTATATATATATAAAGATAATCAAAATCAGGGGTAACTAATTGACCTTTGAAAATGCAATATTATGGTATAACCTTGAAGATAATAGTTAATTCTCCTTTCCTAAAAAAATTACATTTTCTCAAATTGAACTAAAAGTTACGCTCCATTAAATCAAAAGAATCAAATTAGATTATGATCAGAAACTGATACTAAAATTACCGAGCAAAAATGAAGCATATTGACATATGAATGGTAAATTAGGAATGTTTAATTAGTTAATGTATTAATACTCAAAATTACTGAACAAAAATGAATTAATAAGTCCAATATATGAGACGAAGAGAGAGTTACTTATCGATCAAAAAATATACATAGTAATAATTATTTCATTTTAGGGTTATTTGCAATTTTAGTCCCGTAACTTTTGGTTGTTATCGTTATTGGTCCTGTAACTTTAATCACTTGCAAATTGGTCATTTAACTAATAAATCTTTGCAATTTAAGGACTTTTCCACCAGAAAGTACACTTTTCTGCAAAAAAAAAAGTGCCAACGGCGACATCTTTGCCGGTATACTATTGTCGAAAAGTGTAAATTTCAGGAAAAAAGTGCTTAAATCGCAAATATAAATTGGTTACGGTACCAAATTTGCAGATTTCCCTGTATTTATTAGCAAATTTTCCTTCATCTTTTAAATGAAATTAAAAAATGATTTATAAATGATGCTAGCCAATTGTATCTGCGTGCAATATTATATATTAAGGATATTCAAAGGGAAATGATTATTATATTTATTAAGAAATTAATGTATACGAAAAAAATTGGTTTCTTACAAAATAAATTAAAGTGAAAAGAAAACTTTGTTATTAACAAGTTATAATATGGTATTATTATCGCTATCAATAATGAAGTGATCGATTAGTTTCCTATACTAATCAATTGCATATGAATAGTATAGGATCGGTATAAATACGATATATATATTTTAATATTGAAGATACTAATATTGAAAAGAGTTTGAGGATTAAAAATGGAAACCCATTTAATTATATTGTTTTGGTCTCACTTAAGAATTAATATGATCATGGAAAGTACAATTTTTGCACTAACGAGCAACAACAATATCTTAAGTAAAATAAAATAAGGAATATTCACATATGTTACCAAAACAAAGGTTTATTTACAAAAATGTGATCTCTTAAGTGTAATGATTATCATTGTAACTTTAGGTTAGTCATATTAACTTATTGATAATCTTAAAGACTGGGGCAGCAAGATTCAAGTGCGAATGGGGAAATTTGCTATGTATGAATTGAGTAGCAAAACCGACAAAATAACAGTGTGCTATAATGAGAGTATCGGGTCCCCTTTCACAAACTAGAAGGTGATATTTATAGTGTAAAACATCTATATATATTCTTATTATATCAATTCATGAGTTACTTCGTGGACAGGTTTTTACCCGTGCAACGCACGGGTTGAGTGACTAGTTAATAATAATAGTGATTGAATTAGAGCCCTGAGCCCATTTAATAACTCTTATTTTCATTATATAAGCCTTATCAGCCAAGTATTTTACTAAACACATGCGGAGTGATTTTTTTACTTTACGCACTAAATTGTGTAATAATCAAAATAATTTAGGTTAGAGTTATTTTTCTTTGTCTGAATTTACTGTAATCTTATACAGTGGCATATCCACTATGGGGGCAGCCGTCTCCACTCAACCCCAACCCAATCCATATATATATGTCTAAAATTTTATCAGAAGTTGCTCAAAATAAGAGTTAAATGTAGAAAAAATTCTAAAATAGGATTAACAGTGTCTTCTTTCATATTAAAAGAATAATAGGCTAAAAAATTCACTAAATTTCCTACGTATATAGGTAATTTTCTTAAATTTTATCTGCAATTTTATCTTTACACACCTGTAATATAAATTAAGCTTCTTTTTATTGTAGTGCAAGTTTGTCCCCAACTGCCAATTTTCCTAGATACTCCACTGATACGTAATCAGTAATCTAATATGCAGTAGTAAAAACAACAATATATCAATTTGTGTTGCACTTTTTATACACATAAAATTATAAGTATTGAGCAAAGTAAAAATTAGACTCAATCTTGTTTAATATATTTTGAACATTTATTTATTTTCTTCATATATCACTATAAAATACTCCGTAATAATTATATTTAGAAATCTTGTACGCCTTTTCATGCCTAGGCTTCAAAGGCTTGAGGATTGGCCTCGACGCCTTGCCACGCCTCACGCCTTTTAGAACACTGATTTATACACAAAATTAGACAAATTGTACACACATCCCTCGT